CGAAGCGATATTCGATTAAATTTCCTATTAAACGATTCAATTATTTTATTTCCTTAATAGTATTTCGTATCAGAACGATCGTTTCCGAATCTGTTGATGCTGGCGTGTCTTTCCATGCGACCGGCTTGTTTATAAGATATTGTCTAGATACGATTGATCCGTTATATATACAACACATTGCCCTTGTCACACCTATTTTAGGTACACGCGATTAAAAGTTAAATTTTCCTACTACAGATTTTATTCTACACTCGCAAAATGGAAAAAATAACAATATAGTTGAATGTTCTATAGATATTTTATGTAAATAAATTGAAAATTAATATTGTTTAAACTTTTTATAAACCGTATTTTGCCTGTTATTTACACACGGTTGCAAATTTATAAGCGGATTAAGTACCACTTAAACACTTAGTCCTCTTATACATAAATTTGCTCCCGATTACCGAACAGTCTCCAAATTGTTCCGTGAATTTATAATTATTTATTCATTAAAAATTTATAATTTTTCAGTAGTTATAAATGGGATATATTTATAACTTTAAAGGTAAGTTAAGTATAAACAATACGACCCTTATATATTGTTGCGTTAGGAATTTTAATTCCCTAAATCAATCATTATTCATGATTATTCTGTAACTTTTAGTTAATTAAGTAATAAAATAATAAAATATAATTAACACTTTATAACTTGTGTGTAAGTTACGACAGTGCTTACGGTATAATTACTAAACGAAAGCATCAGTTTTCTCTTCATTTTTTTTTAATTTTAAATTATCAAATGCTTAGACTTTAACTTAAATTATACTTTATTGATTATTCTTTACGCTTATCAGTATCAAGTAACACAATATATTTTCTTTTCGATTTAGGATAAAAGATATCAAAGTCTGGAAGATAAGAGAATGACAAATTAAATATTAAATTGTTATCAGTTTCTTTAATTTTTTCGATTTTAAGATGGAAAAGTGAATCGAAGTTATTTACTTCTTAAATTGTATTGAAATTTACTAGAAAGAAATAAAATACTTCAGTACGTATCCAGAAAATATTCGGTTTTATAATATAGGTCAAACTGAAGTATGTATCCAGTGGCGCGTTATACGTTCGTGAGGCCCTAGTAAATTTGAATTAGGGAGCCCCAATGTACAGTGTTGACTTCAGACATTTTTTGGGGGGAAATTCCTCGGTATCCTCGTTTATTTTTTAACGTTACCTCTGGAGGGTTTTAATTAAGTTCTGCGCTTTGCCTGCACCACACCGGCAATCTAGGGACCCCAGATATGGAGCCAGTTTTAAATTTCGATATTCTTACTACAGCAATGAATTTATTAACGATTGATTTGGGGCCCTCTGAGGGATAACGCGCCACTGTATGTATCGTATTGTTTATTTGCGTAATAATGAATTGACTATTTCTACGATTCATTAATTCATTCATTTTAGTCTGTGTCAACCTCCTACAGAATAAGTCCTCTTCAATTTCCTTTCATTTTTTTATATTGGATGTACTGTACTTCTGGGAATAAGTTACGTGATACAGAAGAGCTTCCAACAAAAGTATCAATATATGTATGATAAGTAAATTATTTGTTATATATTCTATATTTAGAATTAGATGTTTAAGATATTTTCATTTTCGGAATAACGAAATACTGGTACATTGAGAATGTATTTCGTTATCTCCGTTATCATGGTCAAATTCAAATAATTTAATTGGCTGTACTTAATTTATTAAAATATATGCTCTCCACCTCAAATTAGTAGTGTCTTGCCCCTGTACATTATACTTTTCCTGTTAGCAACTGAGTTATGCCGTCTACTTCTTACTATCTAACTTCTTATAGGGGAAAAGTTTTGAATTGAAATAATGTGACTTCCGGTTTGTGTCGGAAGTTCGTATATAGTTAATTAGGGCCTCCTTTCCTTAATCTTTCCATATCTGGTCTCGATTTTCATTAATCTAACTCCGTTCTCGAGATTAAGGGAGAACAGACAAACAGACGGAGGACAACGGGAATTTATATGTCTACAGTTTTTACAAATTGCAGCCCAATTAAATTACATTACATTTAGTACTTTTGGAAACAGATAATATGTAAATTTTCGTGGTTTAATAAAACCTGAATAACGTTTATTCGTATTGAATATAAAAAATATTTTTTATTTAAACACTATTTCTGTCCCGTGCTATTTTATCTTCCCTCACATTTTTATATTATTCTATTCTTTTATTTATTATTATTATTTAATAATTAAACATTATTTTTCTTTTAGTAAAAAAGAAAATTGCATAAAATATTGTTAATTTATTAATATAATTTTTTCGGGGATTTGAAAAGCTTGATGCTTCTCAGTGGCGCGTTATCCTACGAGCAAAAAAAGGCAATTGCCTGTGGGCCCCACCAGCAGGAGGCCCGAAAAAAATTTTTTATAAAATATTTCTTCCAAATAATTCCCTCGAAGACAAAAATGTCTGAAGTCAACACTGTATATGGGGCCCCTAATTCAAATTTGCCTAGGTCTTATGAAGCTATAATGCGCCACTGATGCTTCTAAAAGACTATACACACTTATACAGTATAATTTTTTAGTATACTGTATTTAAATTCCAATGATATTCTATTCGACATTTTTTTTCTGCTGCAAGTACAGTATATTATTGGCATCCATATTTATCATTTATGATCGAAAATCACGATCAAAACTTAATATAAATATTATTTTATTGGTGTAGTTTACTTCTTTGTTTACATAAACAAATTGAACACTTTTATTTTACTTTCTACGAATGTGAAATAATGTTATTCCTATAGTTGATAAATAGAAAGATTTCTTTTTGATTATTCTATACTGTGATTCAAATTCAAATGTTCATTAATGCACACACGTGTGTAGGCCATACTATATATATATATGAGTCAATGGATGGTTGATAAATGATGAATACAGACAAATCTGTTACTTCACCGAATATAAATCTTTATTTTATTCCCGGAATATTTAATAATCGGAATGAAATGTTTACATTGAAAGAGTAAAATGTGTCATATTTATTCTGAATATTTATCTATCTACGATCAATGTGAAAGCTAAAACCTTCACTTTAATATCATCCGACGACCACAAAGACAAGAGGAGAAAACCAATAACGATTTAATGTATCCGTAAGTATTAAATACTGTGAATATAAATGGCGAGTTTAAAAAAAATACATTTATATTCGCTTTATTTCTAACGTTGAATTTGTGTTTCTCCCTTCTGTTTTTCGAAAGGAATGGCAGTTTCAATTTTCTTTTTAAAAATGGAAGGAACTTCAACTACCGCATCTAATGCGGATTAATGATTTTTATTTTCTTTATCCAAAGCCGAATAAACTTTAAACAAGAAAACTGTTTGAGTCAATAGAACTCATGCCAGAGGAATGGAAGGAAATTTTATGATCCTTGAAGGAAACTGTTTTCTGAATAGTATTGAAGCTCACCATGGATAATTTGAAAAAATATTAAGTAACTTTTTTTAACACGAATTTTTGCAATTTGTAATTGAGATTTCCATTCAATTACAACCGTATATACAATACTTAAAAATCTTATAACGAAATTGTAATTATAAATAAGAAATTATGTTAAATACATTGTATACACGTATTAAAGATCGCTGTTACTTTCGAGCTTTCGACAGTGGATAAACAGAAGGCAGCGACCTCAAAACACCATTTTGTTTTTTATTGAGTTAAACGAACTCATTAAAATTATTTTTATATATTAATATAATAATTATATTTTTTAAATCGTTGATTATCAAATACAAACAGCGCGTTTTATACATATAAATATGTTGTTTATTTAAATAACATGTCAATAAATTATTTTAACATACTGTGGGAGAATTTTAAATGATTATTATTTCTTTCTTAAAATAATTTATGTCAAACAATGTAAATCCCATTAAAAAGTAGTCTATGTAGGCTAATTTATGAACTAAACTTTTGTTTAAATCCATTAATTATCTCCTGTAAGTAATATATAAATGCTCACATTGATTAGACCTACATATTTTAAAATTAGATTATATCAATTTTTATCTCGAACATCTCTTAGAGTATAAGGCTTACATAGAAAGGCCTCTTTATAGAGAAAGATTATATTAATTACGAAATGGAGAATACCTTAATTTGTTTTATGACAAATTACACCAAATTATTAAGATGTTAGTGAAAAATTTTCTTTCATTCGAAAATGTCACCGAATCTTAAAAGAAAGCCGAGTAGTCCTGAAAAAAGGGCCCATTTACTGCCATTTAGGCCTGAAAAAAAGGCCCAAAAAAGGCAGAAAGAGTATTTTAAAAAAATTACTAAATAGTTAGTGAAAAATTTTCTTTCATTCGAAAATGTCACCGAATCTTAAAAGAAAGCCGAGTAGTCCTGAAAAAAGGGCCCATTTACTGCCATTTAGGCCTGAAAAAAAGGCCCAAAAAAGGCAGAAAGAGTATTTTAAAAAAATTACTAAATATTAATATTTGTATATAAAAAATATTTACAGAAGAATCGAAACTGCTAATGCATTCAGAGATAAAATTCGTAAATAAAAATGCTTAATGACAAATGAAATTTTATAAGTAATGGCTCTTTACGTATAAAATTTCATTTAACTTTAACTGTTTTTTTTTTAAATTTTGTTTTATTATCTACAGATTTTATCTCCGAACATATTAAAAGTTTCGAATATTTTATAAATTATAGAATATTCTATAAATATCCTACATATAGAAATACTGTATTAACTTTAGTAGAAAAGAAGAAAAAATTTTAATAGGTTTTAAGTTCATTTTTTTTAAATCGACTTTATTATTTCAATCATTAATGTGAATTATTTATTGTATTTTTACATTTATAACCATTATATTTTTTTTATTGATCCCTGCTTTTTGACTCATTCATTTATTTACCATTTACGAAATAAATTAACAATAAATTTAATTATTAATGCGACCAACAATATTAATTCTATAAATAATTTTCGTGTATTTCTATGGAAGGACAAAAATATCCTTAATAATTTAAATCGAAAAGATTATGTCCAAAAGAAGAGTTAAACAACACTTGGTTAACATCTAAACACAAAGTGTACAGGTAAGATTCTCAGTGATTTTGTTAAATTATTATGAGATTTAACTATTAAAGGTTAGATTTTTATCTTTTGATTTGTATCTTTTCGTATGGTTAAAATTGAAAAATTTCATTTATTATTCATCAAATTTTTAAGAAATTTTTTACTAATTTCATTCTTTCCTAGAAACAAATTTCCAGAAAAGATAACAGAATTTAAAGATAAGCTTATTAAATTTGTAGTACAATTGATTTAGAATTAATAATTTTACAATAGAAATTATTCCAATTTTTCATAAATTATTTTAAGGAAAATTGTATTAAAAATATAATCGTCGAATTTTATTTATTATTGAAATTGCTACAATTCAAAGTAAAATTTGCCTAGAAGATAAATTTTTATTGATTTGAAAGATAGAAAAAAAAAAAGAGTATTATGAATTTCCATTTGTCAACGTCATTAAATAGGTGTAGATATGGCTATCTGGATATTTATTTTCAGTTAAATACTTTTTGCTATCACTATGCTGAATTAAGGAAAAAAATCATTATTTTATTATTTTTTACTTTCTAGGCTCTGTTATTTATAACAGAAGGAAAGTATGGCGATTGGTGAAAAAATGGTCCCCAGATTTTTACATTTTTGAATTTGGGGATTTTGAAACGTCGAGAAATGCAAAAAATTCGGGTTATATATATATATATGTGTGTGTGTGTGTGTGTGTGTTACTGTGTGGGGGAGCACGGTTCTATTCATCCTCTTTGAAGTTTAATAACTCGTGTGCTTTTTGTCGAAAATTTCTAAAATTTGGCAGGGAGGTTTGTGTATTAGAGGGATTGATGTTATTAAATTTTGGTGGTTAAAGGTCGAGGGAGCTGGGAGATAAAGGGGATCGTGTGTTATCTCCAGTAGGGTCGGACTTAATGATGATTTTACTCGTTATTAACATTTAGAATTTTTTTATAAAACCCATCCTTACCCCGAAAATTAAGCTTTTTGTCATTTTATAAATAATTAAAAATATAAAAATTTTTAATAACAAAATAACGTAGAAGATGGCGCCACACACGCAGTTTAAATGTTGCCGGGAAAGTTAAGCAACTCGTTGCTGATATTTTTTTTTTTTAATTTTTATTTAACAGTGAATTCATTAGAAATATAATTTTACACGTAAGCGCGACAGATTTTTAAATTTCGAGTAAAATATTTTCATGTAAAAATCAAAATGTATTTGTTAAAATTTCATTTTTTTCTGTCGGTTTGATATTTTGATTTCAGGGATAACATTTTTAAAGAAACATTATTTTTAATAAGAGAAAATTGTTTCCACAACTCGTTACAGCTTAAATTTTATATAATTAACTGGAATGACCACTAATACGTTTAAATATCGAATGAAATCACCTGGTTTAGGTTTTCATAGAACAAGAAATGATTCTGTAATGTCTTCTATAAAAGTGACGGATTTCTTACGATTTTTAAAATATATCTTATAAAAATTTATTGTTACAATACGCAGGCTCAACCGAGAGAAACTATGAGAAAAAGTGAATATTAATGAATTAGATCAATTGTTAAGGTATTTTATTAGAAATATTCCATATTTTTGGTATATATTTATTTCTTTCTACATAGAACTCTGAACATCTACTCTTTAATTATGATCATTGATCACGTTGTATATTATATAATAATTGCATCTTCTTGAAGGTTTATGACAAGGATTCTCGCTATCAAATGATCCTTAATAAATGTAAAAAGTAATATTTAGGTCAGTGGTTCTCGACCTTTCTGAGGTCGCAGGAAACCATTCATACACTTTTTATTACACGGAGCATTAGCATCAATATATTCAAAAATCGATAAGCAGTTTTATGTTTACTATTCTGACGAAACAATAAAGCAATAAATTTTATTATATTGAATAAAATAGAAATATGGAATTGCCTACGAATAAAGTAATATATAGTACATTGGAATAAAAACCTTAAAGCCTTTTTCTGTAGAACACTCGAGGCAAATTTGAGGAACACCGGTTAAGATCTAGGTACGTTGCAGTGTGCAAAAATTAACCTTTTGGCAAGGATGAAGAAGTCGTAAAATTCTAGATCGGATTCGAATCCAAATTTCTACAATTAGGTTTCTTGACATTCTTTATCTTATTATTTATACTTAAAGTTATATTGTTATAGATGACTGACGCTGAAAAGATACTTACTAGCTTTCCACTCTAGGTCTCCATCACATCTGGATATGTTGAGGAACCAGATCGTTCCTCACCATTCCTCATTGTAAGCCTGGCCGAATTCATGATGGCCGAATTCATGATTATAAGTAACTCCAATTAGACAATAGGAGTTACTTATAATGGAAGTCTTATTGTCTAATACTTTTATTCTTATATTAATTTAATATTAATTTAAGAGGATTTGAAGTTAATTGTTAAATTTTACAAATAAGATAGGTATATTTAAGTGGTATCTGTATACGATTGACATATTAAATTTAGTCTTTAAATTAAAATTTGCTATTAATAAGTTTAAATTCTCTTTGCTGTAATTAAAATGGAATAAATTAACTTATATATGTTTTGTTAACAGTTATAATATTTAGAAATTAATTCATTTGTTAAAATTTTATATAAGACTATTCCGATTTGCATATTCCATTACTAGAAACAGCACTTGATTTTAAGTTTTGAAAATTAATTTCTTATAGGTAAAAATGGAAACATTTGACGAAGATTCATTAAACAAATGTCTTAATGAAAAAGTAAATCAAAAGTCCGAGCACTTAGTTAAATTTAATGTTCCATCTTCACGTGGCAAAATCAGAAACTCGGCAGCAGACTGCGAGAATTCAGAAAGTTTTTCACTTACTTCGAGTTTAGAGTTTTTAGAAAAAGAACTGAATCTTGATGCAGATCGATTGCATTTCTCCCCTAAAACAAGAAAATTAAAAGAAAACAACTTCGAAATTTCGGATAATTCAAAAATATCGAATTTAATGATGATAAAAAATATTGGTTCGTGCCTTTTAAATAACAATTTAGATGATAAAACGAATCAGAAGTTATTACAAGAGCTGCTCCTAGTTTTAAAAAAATTACTATGCGAAGAAAACGAAAAGGGGGGAGTTAAACGAAATAAACATTTACCCGACTCAGAAATCACTAAAAAAGAAAAGCATTATTCCATGCCATCATCAAATAAAGATATTATTATGGAATTTAATCCCATAAATGAATATACATCATCACTAAAGGAACAGGGATGGAATGATTGCTCTTATGACGATAGTATCAATGTTATACCAACCACTGATACGTTACGTTCATTTCAGAATGTGAATAAAATTAATGTAGAAAAACCCAACATTTTCAAACGAAGAAAGCCAAAATTGCCTCCAAAAGTACCTTTAGAAAGAAAATATAACGTAAACAATTCTACATCGTCATCTGAAGAACATTTACAAAATACTGTTGATGACATTGTAAAAAGGAAAGAGGCAATGTTTCAGAAATCCTCAAAATTATCCGTCTTGCCTCTGTCGAAACACTCCACGCCATTTTATCGCATAGGAGAAAATATTCTGAAAATTAGTAACGAAACGGTTCCTTCAATTTATGGAACTAAAAGCAAAAACATACCATCTGTAACCATAAAGATTGAACCAGCTGATTCAGAAAAATGCCAACAATCTACAAAATTCGAAGTTAGTCAAATTTCTCCAGAAGAGAAAGCTTTAAATTTAGTTTCTTCTTCCATTAAAGACTTATTGAAACCCGTATCCAGGAAAGATACTAATATAGTTCTGATGCCTTCTCCGAATGATGAATCTGCACAAGACACTGAAATCTTTCCTGTAACTGCTGGAAGGCAATCGAGCGTAATTTTCCCAATCGATAAAATTCTCGATTTATCTAAAAATAGAAAGAAACCCACTGTCGTTGCTATACCAGCAACAGAAGTCCAACAAAATCAACAAATTTTAGATAATGATACGACAGTTTTAATAGCTCCTCCACCAAAAGAATTTCAACGTTTAACCATCGAAGATCCAACGCAAAAGAAATGGAGTAAAATTGCTGAAAAAATCGCCGAATCTTTATCTCCATCCGAACAGCCAATGGTTATTATATTGCCTCCAGATGCAAAATATCTCGACGAAGAATCAGATGATAATTGCACAAACTTACAATCTCTCATTTTCATGTCACCTTCGTTAGAAATGATTCAACCAGGAGAAACCATAGATGAATTTTCATACAATCATAGAATTAGTGAAATTCCAACGGTAGTAGTGGTTCCTTCAAAATCTCAACATACTTTCGTTAAAATCGACACAGAAAAGATTAAAGTTCCTATGATACAGAAAAATCCATTCGATGCTGTAACTTTTACAGATTACATATCTCAGAAATCTGAAGAGTTTTCTGTTGGAACGAAGCATTACAAAGATGACAGATCTCAGAAATCTCAAAGATTTTCTGTTGGAACGAAGCATCATAAGGATCACAGATCTCAGAAATCTCAAGAACATCCTGTAAGCGATGATGAAAGGTCTAAAAAACAATCAGAAATGAAGGAGGAAACTGAAAATGTTTCTATAATCACACCAACTGCAGAAGAAAATCCCGGAAATCCACTTTCAGCTTCAATGAAGTTCGATTCTACCGGTTTACCTCCCTTAAAAATAGAAATTGGGCGAAAATTAAAAGCAAAAAAGAGAGTAGAAATGCCGGTAAATTTTAAGGAAAATACGACCTACGGGGAAAAAATGACCGAGTTGTACAAATGGCAAATGGCTTTAGCAGTAATAGAAGAGGGTATTGAAGAATCATTCGTTGATTGTCTTATGGTTGGATTGAATCAGTTAAAAGACAAGAAACATAAATTAGTGGAAAGAAGAGTTATAAAAAACTGAAATTATCTTTAATTATTAAAATTTTAAATATATAACTAAGGGATATTAGGCTGTATTGTCTAATCTACAGTAGTTAGATGAGTTGTACAAGTTGACAAATAAATAACTTAAAAAATATATTTAATATTTGCAATTGCTGTTTCCCAACAAAAAATACATTTCATTTTACTTAATAGTGTATATTGTATAATAATTGTATCTTCTCAAAGATCTATGATAAGGATTTTCGTTATCAAGTGATCCCCAATAAGTGTAAAAAATAAAAAGTAACATTTAAAAAGTAAATTAAACAGTAAAGAAAATATGAAAAGTAATTTTCAAAAATGTTAACAGAGTAATAGATCCAAATCTTCGGGATATTTCACGAGTAGATCAGAGTTGAAATTTCGTCGCTCGTTCTTTAATCATTGTTCGATTCTAACAGAATTTAATTAGCAGACGGATGGACAAGACTATAAATCTGCAGCTGTGGGTTTGAGTTCGTGTCGGCTCAGAAATTTTCGTGAATAAATTAACCTGATTCTGGCTCTTCTCTCGTCATCCGATCTGAAAGACTGGCTTTAGTGTCTGCCAAGCGAAGTTGATTCAAGCACGTCTATTAAATATAATGACAAAATAAATTTGCGATGTAACTTTGCGATGTAATTTGCGAGTGCACTGTTGCCTCGTGAATCAAATCATTCTACAAATGTTTCAATGCAGTCAGAGCCGTAGAAATGTTTTTGGAGCCCTTAGCAATGCGTTCGTTTTTTTAGTCACTCCTTCAAGTGCCAATGCATTGCCACGGTTCTGAATACCGTAAAATATGGGTTTAGCGGAACACTCGAACGCATTGTTCGAGTGTTCCGCTAAACTTGTTCATTGAAGTCATATGTTCATTAAAAAAAATACCGCATATTTTACCACAACCGGCATTTTTTAAATAATCGATGCATGGTTTTCGTTTGTAAAAGAATGCGATAAGAACAGAAATAACAAATAACCAACGAATTGCCAAAAATAGAGAACTATTCTTACATTATAATTAATTTGGCTGTAGAAACGTGTCACTTTTGTACGAAATTTTATTATTAGAAATTAATGACTAATGGAGAAATTAGAAGAACAGATCTCGTATGGAATGGCATAAACCACAGCTAGTGCAAGTCAAGGTCCTAGAATATAATCTAGGGCCTTGAGTGCAAGTGACATTACCGATTAACGGGATAGAGTAAGGCATTTCAAGCACATTTGCCAATTTTCCCATGATTTATTTGATTCATTCTGTTTCTATTTATATTATTCTTCAAAATTATCTGAGTTTCTTAATGACTCAAGAACACCCATTATGCGAGTGAGAAATGTCGGCATCAATCTATCTTTAATGCGAAAAGTGTCGAGTACTATCTAAAAACAAAACTGAAAACTTCGCTGACAAATTTGAGCACGAAATTCTATGAAACAATGGCACCAAAGCTTGGTGTTTTTACTTTCCCGACTGTTATATATAACAGAGGGAAAGTATGGCGATCGGTCAAAAAAATTATCCCAAAGATTTTTACATTTTTGAAACGTCGAGAAATGCAAAAACATTCGGTTTTTTTTCCTGCTTATATGTTGTTAGTGTGGGGTGCCACGATTTTGCTCAACCTCTTTAAAGCTTAATAATTCTTGTCTTTTATCGATAATTTCTGAAATTTTGCAGGTAGGTTTGTATCAGGTTTGTATCTATTAAATTTTGGTGGTTAAAGGTCGATGGGGTGGGGAGATAAAGTCGTGTCACATCTCGAATAGGGTCGGACTTAATGACAATTTTACTCCATTAGCGTTGTTTTTTACAAACCCATCCCCTAACCTCAAAATTAAGCTTTTTGACATTTTATAATTAAAAATATGACGTTTTTAATAAAATATCATAGCAGATAGCGCCACACGTGGTTTTAAATGTTGCCGGGAAAGCTAAGCAACTCGTTGCTATTTAGAATTATATTCATTAGTAACATATACGTTCACACGTTCTAGAGAATATGAAGGGTAAATTTTTGTCAGTTGTCTGCTTAATTAATTAAGCAATATGAAAATATACTAATGGTCTTAGCTATATTATGACCTGACATATATCCGATAAATCCAATTTCACTCTATCTTTCGCTTTTTAATTAAATTTTATTCCTGAGAAAAATAATTTCGTTAATTTCTAATTAAAAACTGTGAAATTAAGAAATTAATCTTAATATATTAATAAAAGATTTTATGAAGTTATATGGAGATTGAGCTTTTTGAAAACAATCTTAGTTAATTATATTAAATTAGGTAGGAACAAGAAATATTTCGTAATGGATATTTCATTAAGTAACACATTTAAAAAAATAAAACAATGCTTTATTTTCAGATAAAAACACAATGCTTATATATAAGCATATGCAATGTTTATACATAAGCATACTTCATGCTTAAAGAAATGTAATAGTAATGAATAATTATATTATAAACTTTACATGTTTATAAAAAAGTATCTGTCCCGTCTTCATTTTTAAATAATTTTTAAAAATACTAATTTAGTAGTGATGTGAATGCAATAGTTCTGGCTGAATCATGCACCGTGAATGATTTTCTGTATTTTATTTTTCAGAATTTTCATTCAAGAAAAGTATTTAATTTTTTATTCTTCTTAAGCACTTTTTCTTTTTTGTGATTTGTATTCTGTTTTTGCGTTTTTTATTTTTAGATGTCTTCTTTTTAGGCGTTTCGAATATAACTGGCTCCTTATTTATAAATGTGACTTTTTTCTTTTTTAGAGAAGTTGCTTTCTCTTTACTGTCCAAAGAAACTTTGTTTTCATCATCAAAACTGCTAAATTCACCATCACTCTTGTCTTCTTCATAAAATATAAATGGAATTTTCTTTTTAGAGGTGATTCCTTTCTCTTTAAAAGAACTGGGCATTTTCTTTTTGTTACTACAATATATTTCATTTTCTTCTTCATCACTATTAATCTCATCATCAATTTTACTATTCTCATACGATGTAATTGGAATTCTCTTCTTAGGAGTGGCAGCATTTCCTCTAGGAGTGATTATTTTCCTTTTTCGAGAACTTACTTTTTCATCCTCAGAATAATATTCACTTTCTTCATTAACACTGTTACCTTTATCATCACTATTGCTATCTTTATAAGATATAACTGGAACTTTCTTTTTAGAAGTGATTGTTTTCCTTTTTGGAAGTCTTATTACTTCCTTTTCATCTCCAGAATAATCACTTTCTTCATCAACATTATTAGCCTTGTCGTTGATTTTGCTTACCTTATGAAATGTAATTTTTGCTTTCTTTTTAGGAACAGTTGTTTTCTTTTCAGCAATGTTTGTTTTCCTTTTTAGAGAATTTGGCATCTTTTTAATATCAGAATAAATTTCATCATCGTAATCTTTTTCTTCATCCTCCTCCTCCTTTGTTTCTTCATCATCATCAACCTCATCAACATCTTCATTTTCATCACTATTTACTTCTTGAAAACTTTCAACTTTTGTTACTTTTTCACATTTCTTTTCTTCGTCTTCTGAATCACTGTCATCTTTATCATCTATACTTTGTATCAAATTATTTCTTTTAATTTCTTTAAATTCTTTAATGGAGGTTTGATCATCATTATTACTAGAAAAAGTATCTTCAGTCTCTAGTTTTCTGTTTTTATTTGGATTTTGTTCAATACTTTGAAGTTCATCTTTCTCTTCTGAATCTGATACAGTATTATCAAAAGTATCTTCAGTATTCTCTACCCTTTCAAGCACAGCTATGAAAAACCCATTAGTTAGACTTTTCTCTGGATAAGCTCTCAAACAAAACCTTCCAAACTCATAGTTTTTATTCCCACGTATTGGCCAAATTGGGAAAGCTTTGACAACACGAAAATTTTTGTTGCATTTACTCAAACATTCTTTTATAACTTCTTCATTTTCTATATGGTTAATAGAGCAGGTGGAATATACAATTCTCTTTACTTTTGGGAAACTTAATGCACATCTTAGCAAATTTGCTTGAAATCTTGACAATTTTTGTATCCTAGACTTAGATTTTGACAATTCATCATCCGTTATATAGTCCATTCTGTTAACCATTCCACTACCGGAGCAAGATGGATCTAGTAATATATATTCGGCATCAGAAAATTTTGAATTCTCTGGGTCAATCTCGGTAAAATTTTGAAGATAAGGTTTACAGTTTTTAACTCCTGATGAACTTACAAGTTTTTTCAAAACTGTTAATCTTTCAGAATTAATGTCACAAGCATATAATTTTCTGAATAAAAAAAATTTATATTAAATTAATATGAATCACTAACATTTTTTAAATTATTAAAATAAAAGAAGAAATTGAATGATTTATTAATTTATCTTTATCAAAATATATATACAATGTACACCACCTCCAAAACTTAGGAAAATTGGTCATTTCAAGAAGTTGTTCTTTGAAAGGTTTTATTGTATAGAAGATAGAATGATTCAAATTAAAGTTACCCTATTCAGTGTTCTAAAGAGAGAACCAAAGAGCAAAACTTTGTTAAATTTTGTTTGCATATGTTTCAGACCATGAAGAACTTTATGAAAAAAAAAAAAATAGTTCCAAAAATTACTGTTAAGGCTGCTAACTTATAATGCGGATGTAACTTGCAATAGAGGGGTGATGTGGAGTTTACATCAATTAGATTTACAAAACATTTGTAATCAATCATAATTAGCTTATTTGGGAATTATATTTAATTACTGACAATTTTAATGAAAACTGTAATGATTAACAAAGTCTTGTTTGTAAGCCTTATCCATTATTCTTTATGTGGATTGTGGTGCTCTATTACAGAAATCTCACAGGCTAAATTGGAACTGCAGATAAACATCAAATTTCTTGTTAAACTTGGAAAAAGCTAAAGTGAAATTAGGGAAATGTTAGCAAAAGAGAAAACTGCAGTTTAAAACTGAGTAAAACATTTCAGTGAGGGCAAAAAAAATGTTACTTATTGATGAGGAAGTGTTTAGCCATTTGTAAACTGTATAAATGCATGAAAAAACCATAAACTTGACCAAGTATTTCCCTAATTTCACTTCTGCTTTTTCTAAGTTTAACAAGAAATTTTGTGTTTATCCACTGTCCATTTAAGCTCTGATATTTTTGCAATAGAGCACAACTTACACAAAGAATAATGGATGTAGCTTATAAACTATGCTGCATATGACAATAACATGATTATATATTCAACATTGTAGGAACTGTCCAGCAGGTGCTGCCACAATGGATGAAGTGCAAATTTACAAACTTCATTGTCAAACCTTGTATATGTGTGTGTACATATATATACACACATCTTTTAAGTTTATAGTATTAACAATAATAATGTTATAATATTAATTTATTATAACATTATATATTACCATTATTTTCAACTTTGTAAATTATAGAATTCTATCCATAAAATTGCATTTCTATAAAGATTTATAAATGTGTTATTTATAATTCATGTAAAAATATATAAAATAAATTTCTAGAAGTCTATATTAATTCCTGAAAATTTTTTTTTATTAAGACAAACTAGAAATGAGAGTAGATGCTCAAGTATATATTAATACCATCTAAAAAATTTAATAGTACTTTTATTCAAACTGATGCAACACATATAAAATATGAAAATTTTGAATAATTTCTTGATTATATATTGCAAAACTTATTGTCTTCATCATCATCATAGTTTCAGTTAATCTATATTTGTTTTGATCATATAAAATTTTATTTTGATTTGTAAAAATATTTTCTCACTGAAAATAAATTAACTTACTAAAAATGTTTTCAAATAAATATATTAAATATTTTTTGAACAACCACAAAATATGGCAGCCAAGGATCAAAATGGTAAATTCAAAACTGATAATTAAGTATTAAAAAATATGTTGACATTCATTTAATATAAAGCTTTTAAGAATTTTGATTTTAATTGGTGTTATCTTTATATTTTGAAATTTAAAATGTTTTACAGAATATAAAACTATTTTTATAAAAGAAAAGTATAAGATGTAATAATAAAAACATTGAATGAAATAATTCAATAGGAGTAGCCAGGTGGCGAGGGAAGGCCTAGTGTATCTGGGATAGACCACCCATAAAAAATTCCTGGATTCTCACCCAGACTCAAATTATGGCCCCCAGAACAGTAAGCTGATGCCTTAGCATAAAGACAAGAATGCTAATCAATTTACAAAGTCAAGCTATTTTGGTTTAATTTTTAAATTCTGTAGCCTTTTTCATACATATATTTTTATCTCTCTCTCTAAATAAGGACAACAAAATTTAAACATATTTATAAACTTGAATGGTATCTGACAAATAATAATTACCATATATCTGCGCAGATAAGACGATAGTTGAATCATAAAAAAAAGCCCCCAAAATCTGGGGTTGTCTTATAGAACAGATACAAAAAAAACTAGATGAAATTTATATAAATTAAAACCATTATAAAAAGTGGACAAACTGTAATTATTTACTAATAGAAAGTAGAGTATGTCCACAAAATAGAATAGCCATACGATGTTTTTGTGAATAGTCAATGTCACCTGAATGCCCGAATCAGTGTGAATGTTTGCAATAATAGCAAGGTAGTGCTGCCAGATTCAAAAAAATAAAATTAGTTCATTCGAAAAATTACAAATTGGACATAATTCTGTATATGCTATACAGTGTTATTATCCAGATGTTGATCACTGATCTAAATAGTTTAGATCAGTGATCATAGGCCGTTGATAGTTTGGGGATTGTCTTATAAGACAGATATATGCTAAAACTATAAAACTTTGACGAAAATTTATACCTCATATTATCTGAATGTTGTCTTATCTGTGCAGATATACGGTAATCTGTAACATTTCAAAAATTCAATGCAGTTAGAATTCATATTCAACTAAATAAGTTCAACAGCTCAAACTGGGTAAATGTAAATGAGCACTACAGAATTTTTTATTACGAAAAAATTTAGTTGAACATGCATTTCGCAATATCACTAAGTAGCTAAATTTACAAATTATATGTGACACTTTCCAATACTACCTCCAATATTACAGATTCTGAAGGCTAACTAACCAATCATCCCTGTCATATGCTATCAAAATAGCACAGTAAAGTGTAAAGTGATGTTATTTATTTGATTAATATTCAGAATCTGTCATAATATGTAAACATTTCTTAATTCAGCCTGAAAAACATGCCATCAAAGTCAAGCAACTTTATAGAAATATTAATGCAGACTAATTCATTCTTAAATTTACCTATATGATAGTTCTATGTTTATGTTTTTGTATATATTAAAATAAAATTATATTTAATTATTTATTTAAAAATAAAGCAATCATATAACTAACATACCCAGTATTTTTCATATAGGTGGCAAGGTGAATTGTTTTAATTCCTGGAGCAGCACAACCATCAAGAACAATACTATTTGGTGGAGGTGAGAGCATTTTAGCAGCTAAATAGCTTGTCTGAAATTTTAATATTTTTATTAGAATATTTCCCAAAGTAATATGTTTACTAAATAAACATTTTCTCTCGATTTTTAATAAAAAATATGTTTTTTAAATTACCTTATCTTGTAAAATAATATGACTATCTTTATACAAAGAATTTACTGCCAAGTTCTCACTGTAAGCAAAAACAAGTAAATCTCCGAAATGAATATCTTGAATAAATTGCTTTCTTTCAAGACTTCTTATCATATCATAATATCTAAAATAAGAGAGAAAAAAAACATTTTAAAAAATTGTACGCTAAACAATACTATGTGGAAATTTTTTTGTTTAATATGTTTAATTTTGTACACAATATACAATTGGATCCTTTTAATTTGAACATATAGGAAAATCAAAAAGTTTGAAATATCCATTTTTGAAAATTAAACTGTGGTAGTTTTCTTTAAGTTTTGATTGTATTGATTTGTTAGTATTGATCAATATTCCATAATCTTTGATGATGATATACTTTTCATTCCTTTCATTACTTCAACTTTCTAACTATTGTATATATTACATGCTTGGACATTGTTGGGTTCTTAGCCACTGTTAAGTTCTTAAGGGAGAATGCACTCTAGTAGTAGAACGTTGTATTTTTATGTAGCAAAGAAACGGTTATAACGGTTGGACTGAACACTGGTCACGTCCTACTCATCTGGCTGACCCGAACAAAAAGACAACCCCGAATGTCGCACTCACACGTAAATGTCACTTTATGGGTTCCAGATTGAACCCTGGTCGTTACGTGTTCACATGTGGTAAACACCTGATCCAACACGTGGTAAACACCTGACCCAACAGACATCATAAACAGCTCCACTAACCCAAATGCTACTAAAACTGTGAAACAAGTTTGCTCATTTCCAAGTGTTTATAAGAACTCTTGCATGCTGTGGAATCCTTGAAATGATTATTTGCTACTTCACATTTTAGTGTCTTATTTTTGAAATATGACATTTACTAACTGCAAATTATCCAAATTATATCAATTTGGATAATTTTTTTTTAAAAAGTTTAAATAAATTGTATTTTTAACCAATAATTAAATATGAATTTCAAGGGAAATACTAATGGATTCAAATAATGCAATAATTCAACTTAATCAGATTTAACTGTATTTGATATTAAATTTAATAGAATAATTTTCTTTTCACTAACTTATGCTTAAAAACTTAATTTTAATCTTCAAAATGATTTAAGAAGTTTTTTATGTGGAAACATTTGAAAATTCTCAAAATGACTTCCAATCTAACATATTAGTGTAGCTTTTTTCATATTATAGAAGCATGCAGAAACAAAATTTAATATGTCCCTAACAGCTGACTTATCTAATTATTTCCTTCAACAAATGGGTTAAGATGATTACATTCATGTAATCATCTTTACACTTGTTTGTTTACATCTTTGCTTGTTATTATGGAACAAGCAAACATATTTTGTTTCAAGTGAAATATACATTTTGATAATATAACTGTGAAAGATTATAAAACAAGAATTTGCAAATCAAAATATGAGATTTAGAAAAAACAAAGCACTGATTCTGACCATGTTATGCAGATGGAACCTGGGGCTGTATTCTGGTCATCGTCTCTCACAAGCCAGTCACTAATTGGCTAATCATTTGTTTATGTCTTAAGAGATCATTGTATCTCTCCAAACGCAATTCTGGACAACTTTTTCTCTCAAAGATTTGTTTCTCAAAGACGAGTGGATAGTTGTCTTTTGACTTGTCCCTCGATTTCAATATATCCAATATGGATGGCTGGATGCTACTACTTGCACCGTACAATTGTATTAGAGAATGTTCTCTATCTCAGGAAAGTATATTTCAAGAGAGAAAATGCTTATGATTTTTTTCCAGTGCTTACTCGAAAATGCCACTGATTCCATTCTCTTTTTAAATTATCTTACATCAATTACTGAACTATTGAATATGATGTTAATCTTACTTAAATAGTTAAGGAGAAATTAGATAGTAATATTTTGAAAGATATCTAAGTATGTAAAATACTTTTCTAACTTAGGTTATTAAAATTTTTATTTCTTAAGAGACAATTTGACATTACAATCTGTAAAAATGTTATAAAACAAAAAACATAACTTCTTCAAAATCACATTCTTTTTTTAAATGCGTGCTTTCCTTGCCACATGATCTATAATTACATATTCTGCATTTTCGAAAATTTTACAATTTTATTGGTTAAAATTCTATACCATGTTGCGCACGAACACGTATAATCAACCTAGTAGAGTCGTGATATCATCAACTTAAACAAGATCATTAAAAGTGACCAGAATTACCATTGTCTCTGAGAGATGAATTTTGTCTCTCGTTTTGAAGTCATTCATCTCAGAAAGACGAGACAAGAGATAAGTGACCAGAATACAGCCCCTGAAAAGGATCCTAAATAATATGTCATCCCATTCTCTAGAAATAATAATTGAAAGTTTTGACAAAGTATATAATTGTAGAGTTAAATAAAACTTATTCATCTCTCACACCAATATTGTTCTACAAATGAAATTTATATTGAAAGGAAAACTGAGGATAGTCTGTTCAGTGAAAGTTGAGATTTTCAAGGTTTTTTAATGAATGGTTAGTTATGTTTATTTGATAATTTCTATTTGATATAACTTTATAACTTAAAAAAGAAAGAAACATTACTAACTTGTTTAATGTTATACATTTTTTCTGATACTTTACTTGTTGGTAACCATCGTTTTCAAGTTTTTGCAAAACATCAGCTACTGTTGTCAAAATTGTGTTTACTCGAACATAACGTGGGAGCATACCTACAACAAATTCAAGAAATTCAGAAATTAAATAAAACACTAAATAATTTCAATACTTAAACAACTTTTCATCAATTGCTTTATTGGAATATAGCATACAAGAGCAATTGAATATAATACATCAGCAACTAAACCCAATTACAATACAAAAAGCAAAATAGTGTAAGGAAAACAATTCTTAAACATAGAGAGAAATAAGTTGTGAAAAACTCAAAGAACAATGTATTCATATTATTAATGAATTAAACAAAATTTTAAAAAATATGGGTTGTGTGTGGAAGGGAAAAGACAAGCACGAAACAGGAAAGATTGTATATGGAAATAGTAGTAAACATCAATTTAAAATAACAAAGTTAAAATATTAAATATATGACTTTTAAGTAAATTACAGAGTATTTTATAATATAATACACACAAATTATTTATATACTGTAGATCAGAATTAAATTAGCAGAGAAATATAAGTAAAATAACAAGAATTTTATAAATATATAAGTAATTTCCTATTCCTGTTTGTCATTCCTCATTCTGTTGATTTTATTATGTATCTTTTCTTATATTATTGTTTGAAAATAAGATTGTTATGTAAAAGAAAGTTAACATTCTATAAAATATATGCAGACTCTAGAGGTGATCACAGCCAAAATGCATTTTATTATTGATGTATTTGAATTAAAATTTTCTATGCTTTCTTCATAAAAATACGTAATGTGGAGTGTAAACTTTTAAGTTTCATTCAAGTTAAGATTCATTAAAAATATGATAAAAGACATATTATTAAACTATATATAATATAAAAAGCTTATTTTATAACTTTAAAAACATTTGAATTCCAAATTTATATAAATGAACTTGGAACTTTAAATATTTCTAAAACTGCAGAATTTTGTATTATGTTTAACCACTCAGCAGTGAGCGACGACTATAGTCGTCAAGGGTGATCGTGTGGCAATGATGAGGTACTACTATAGTCGTCAAACTCTTTTGGGGGGTATCGCCAAAAACTAGCCTAAAACTATTGCGAAAAAAAAATTCACATAAAAAATGAATTATGCAACAATAAAAAAAGACTTTTCTTTACTAGATGTGGCTGTTTACAAAATCTTTTTCTGAAACAGTAATGAGAAAAAACGCGTGGAAAAATACTTTAAAAATATTCCACATTTATTCTCCGCTACTGGGGGTAGAATCATATCTAAATAGTCCAGTGTTGAAAGGTTAATATTTTTATTCCAAAAGATAAACTTTTAATAGTCTGAAAACATTAAGGTTATTCAATATTTGTTAGAAATAAGAAATTTATAAAAAATGTAAAGTTTGTTTAAATTTATCAAAATAAAACTGAAACGTTCATACTAGGCTTAAATATATCTTTCACCAATTCTTCAGCAGATGCAGCAGATTTTTCTTTTAAATGTTTTTCCAATGCTTCTTTCAATCTTGACTCATATTTTAAAATTATATTTACAGGTTCACTATTTCCAGGCAATTTTTTCAAACCAAGTAACAGATCATAAACCAAAACCCAAGCAAGATATATGTCAAATTTCTTCTCCTTTTCAAATAATTTAACTTTATTTACAATGCATGCTAGTGCATGTTTATATCTCAATGATTCATAAACAAGTGCATATAATGTCTTCACCTGAAATAGTACAAGAAAAAAAAATATCAATATTTTTGATTTATAAATAAACTTATAAACAAATAAATTCTGATGCATTTTATGGTAGTTACAGAGAAAGGTTCTAAACTGTTGATTTGAAATTTTCCAATAAGATGCAATATTATAAAACAGTAAAGTATTTAAAGTTATGAAATAAGACAATTATTGCAAGATTTCAATGAGCTAGATAAAAAATATTTGATATCACATCACCGAACAATCTATCAAAATTAAAATATAGTTCACTTCACGCCAGCGTTTAGAAATTAAATATAGGACACTTCCGTGTTGCAGTATTATAGACAGCAATTCGTTAAATTTCAGATATGCTCACTAGTACTTTCAACAGTTTACAACCGTCATCCTCAGGCGAAATCGAATACCTTTGGTTTCGAATTGACAGCTTTTAATGGACTTTTCAAATTACGTAATGCACGTGCATTACGTAATTTGAAAAGTCCATTAAAAGCTGTCAATTCGAAACCAAAGGTATTCGATTTCGCCTGAGGATGACGGTTGTAAACTGTTGAAAGTACTAGTGAGCATATCTGAAATTTAACGAATTGCTGTCTATAATACTGCAACACGGAAGTGTCCTATATTTAATTTCTAAACGCTGGCATGAAGTGAACTATATTTTAATTTTGATAGATTGTTCGGTGATGTGATATCAAATATTTTTTATCTAGCTCATTGAAATCTTGCAATAATTGTCTTATTTCATAACTTTAAATACTTTACTGTTTTATAATATTGCATCTTATTGGAAAATTTCAAATCAACAGTTTAGAACCTTTCTCTGTAACTACCATAAAATGCATCAGAATTTATTTGTTTATAAGTTTATTTATAAATCAAAAATATTGATATTTTTTTTTCTTGTACTATTTCAGGTGAAGACATTATATGCACTTGTTTATGAATCATTGAGATATAAACATGCACTAGCATGCATTGTAAATAAAGTTAAATTATTTGAAAAGGAGAAGAAATTTGACATATATCTTGCTTGGGTTTTGGTTTATGATCTGTTACTNATAAAATTAATGGGAAAGACATTGTAAACGACAGCGTATCTCATTGGTCGAGATATATATCGTTTGAGGACTGAACTGTTTAGTATGGGAATTGAGTGTGTATACATTAGAACCAACTGAGTGTGTATATATTAGAATGTATACACACTCAATTGGCTGTTCGCCCTTTGAGTCATGTCAAATGATTTCGAGTGAAATGACGGCTCAGACGATACTAATATGAATCTTCCTTTAACCGCCTCAGCCATCCGACTCGCCGCTACTACTAGACACGGGTTTCCGCATTTTTACGAAAATCCATTATAATAAAGTCGACTTGTATCTAGAACTTCAGGACGCATTATTCCCAAAACTCGAGGCGGGAAAATTTCCATATGCAACAGTCATTATTACAGACTACAGAGAATCGTGATTTCATTCAATTATATGACTATTTTTTTTTAACTCTCCGCCCTCTGGGCACTAAGAGGGCCTTTTTTTGCTAACCCATTATGGGTTCGGCCAGGCCTACAATGGGGCTGCCGGGTGGTGAAGGACGGGGTCCGACATATCCAAACGGACCACCCCCGAAAAATTCCTGAGGATTTTTCGACCCGTTCGGATTCAAACCCGGATCCCACAGAGCGGTGGGCTTCCACCTTGACCGCTCGGCTATCCGGCCGCTTTTATTATGTGACTATCAATGACCATCTCCAATAGAATTAGTTTCAACTTAATTCTATTGGAGAAATTTCAAATTGAAATCTCTCTTGTACACCAAAAATTATAGTAATCAGGCATCGCTTTCGTTTGCATTGACAATACATAGTTTAAAGCTAACCTGCAATAATTGCGACACATTTTGATCATATAAAAACCTTCGTTATCAAAATCTTAAGGTGGGTTGAATTCTGAGATTTGTTTTTCTTTATCGAACTATAATCACTAGCGAGGTTGCGGCCGAAGTTTTAAACGCGAAAACGCGTACGTCAGACGTTCGGCGCCGCTTTCCCGTAAGCCTAGAAGTTCGACAATGGTGTTTGGAACGTCGAGCATGATTCCACCGACTATCCAAACGCCATTGTCAAACTTCTAGGCTTACGGGAAAGCGGCGCCGAACGTCTGACGTACGCGTTTTCGCGTTTAAAACTTCGGCCTCAACCTCGCTAGTGATTATAGTTCGATAAAGAAAAACAAATCTCAGAATTCAACCCACCTTAAGATTTTGATAACGAAGGTTTTTATATGATCAAAATGTGTCGCAATTATTGCAGGTTAGCTTTAAACTATGTATTGTCAATGCAAACGAAAGCGATGCCTGATTACTATAATTTTTGGTGTACAAGAGAGATTTCAATTTGAAATTTCTCCAATAGAATTAAGTTGAAACTAATTCTATTGGAGATGGTCATTGATAGTCACATAATAAAAGCGGCCGGATAGCCGAGCGGTCAAGGTGGAAGCCCACCGCTCTGTGGGATCCGGGTTTGAATCCGAACGGGTCGAAAAATCCTCAGGAATTTTTCGGGGGTGGTCCGTTTGGATATGTCGGACCCCGTCCTTCACCACCCGGCAGCCCCATTGTAGGCCTGGCCGAACCCATAATGGGTTAGCAAAAAAAGGCCCTCTTAGTGCCCAGAGGGCGGAGAGTTAAAAAAAAATAGTCATATAATTGAATGAAATCACGATTCTCTGTAGTCTGTAATAATGACTGTTGCATATGGAAATTTTCCCGCCTCGAGTTTTGGGAATAATGCGTCCTGAAGTTCTAGATACAAGTCGACTTTATTATAATGGATTTTCGTAAAAATGCGGAAACCCGTGTCTAGTAGTAGCGGCGAGTCGGATGGCTGAGGCGGTTAAAGGAAGATTCATATTAGTATCGTCTGAGCCGTCATTTCACTCGAAATCATTTGACATGACTCAAAGGGCGAACAGCCAATTGAGTGTGTATACATTCTAATATATACACACTCAGTTGGTTCTAATGTATACACACTCAATTCCCATACTAAACAGTTCAGTCCTCAAACGATATATATCTCGACCAATGAGATACGCTGTCGTTTACAATGTCTTTGCCATTAATTTTATTAAAATTCTCTGTTTTTGCTCCCATGCCAGATATTAGTTATTAGATGATTCTACGTGTCAAACTAAATAAACATAAAAGAATGTCTCGCATAGGTTGTGGCATTCTTACATCTTCAACGATTGGCTGATTTCTTTAGGATGATCGAAGTTTCTAGTGTTCTCCACTTAAATTTAATACATTTAAATAAAGAAATTATAAATGTAAATATCTTCAGTTGTGCTTTGATAAATTATTTGGCAATTTAAAATCTATTTGAAAACTGTAAATAATCTAGCAATTGCTGTAATGTTAGTACAGTGGTTCCCATCCTAAGGCCGCGGAACACCATTCAATGCTAATGCTTCGCTTATATGAGTATTCATATCAGCAGAGCATTAGCATCAATACATTTAAAAATCGATAAGCAATTTCATATTTACCATTCCGACAAAACAATAAAGCAATAAACTAAGAAATTTTATTGCATTGAATAAAATATTAAACATGGAATTCTCTACGAATAAAGTAATATGCTGTACTAGTGTACTACATTGGAATAAATTTGTAATGAAATCCTCTTTTTTTCGTGGAATACTCGGAACCCCTGCTCTAATGCGTTCTCTTGTAACGCCAATTTGTTTTCAGAACGCAACTATCGCTTTGTAGAAGAACATAGTAACACAGATATAACATTGTATAATTATTAATATTTATTCTTATANATTATGTAAACAAAATGATTTATGAATATCATGAATAATAGCTATAAATACGATATAAAGACTTTAGTTAAAATGATGAAATTAAATTAAAAAGTCAATTTTAATAAAAATTTGTTTTTTCTTTGTTATATTAAATAGCTGTAGTTCATAAGTACAGTACATATTATTCTAATTCTTGCTTAATTAATTTTATTTGATGCAATAAAAGTACATACTAATTCAATTAAGTGTATTATTTATGAATTTTTCTTGGTGATTGAACTTAATTAGTTCATAAATGTTATATATGTAGTTTTGTTTTATTTTGTTTTTAATTAATTTTATCTAAAATTGTTCTTTAGTTTTTTATTGACATGGGCAATGTTGAATTCAAGAGGATACTGAGGGATTCCCTCAAAATATTCTTTTGGAGAAAAAAGTCTAAAGATAACACTACCCTAATTCAAATCTGTCTGGATCACATTAAGCTATAATGCATCATTGCTTGCTGTTGCTGCTATAACCTTTATTATAGAATATAAAGATGCACAATAAGTAATATGACAAATTATTAACCAACGAACAAAATGGCTCAATGCAATGTAATAAGAATCAAACCTGACTGCATTGCATTGCTCCATTATTGAAATGCTGCTGACATCAATTTATTTCAGATGAGATCTTGTTTTAAGAGCGTCAATTCATACTACAAATTCAACATTTAGAAAGGTCAATACTCTCGACGCAAACCAATTTGACCCACTAGAGGGACCTACCCAATAACCAAACAAAAGGTTTTGTGACCCTTTGTCTTAACTTGTTCCTTTGTTCGAACTACTGTCTGTCGACACGTGCGGACATTCGTCCTACTGCTATGTAAAGACTCTTGTACTATAATTCATAGATTAAAGGAAGATACCTTAACCAGTGTAATATGTTTCATCTAAGTGTCTCTCTGCTGATTCTGAATTAACCACAAGAAACTCTTCTGTACGACTCCAAAAGAATGCAGCAGATTCGTTAATAAAACCCAAATGGTTAATGTCCAGATACGTGGACCGTCATGGCGGCACTTCCTGTTTCAGCCTCGAAACCAGACGGTTTGCAGACGACGTGTCACGTGACTACGCGAGCGAACGGCGGCGGCTGTCATGGCGCCTCATCGCTGATTCCAGCAAAGAAAAGGAAACAGTGGGGACGCACATTCTAACCTAACCTAACCTATTCTAATTATATAATTGGTAATAATTATGCTAATTTATTAGAATAGGTTAGGTTAGGTTAGGACGTGCGTCGGTGCGTCACGTGACACGTCGTCTGCAAACCGTCTGGTTTCGAGGCTGAAACAGGAAGTGCCGCCATGACGGTCCACGTATCTGGACATTAACCAATAAAATAATTACATTATTATACTCACTTCAGTCTTTCTAACCTTAGACGCATGGGAATATATTAAATTTTTAATACTTCCCCTTTTTTCATCGATCAGTCGTAAAACAGTAGCTACTGTTTCATATATTCTTAGATGAGCGTTTTCGGGTTTGTTTCCAAAGTTTTTCTGATCACGCTTTACCATGGAAGCGGCCATTTTGAAATACATAAAAATTTCTAAGTGTTGCCAGATTGTGGAAAAAACATTTTTAAGGAAATTTTTTAATTATATTTTCGATTACATTTTAAATTAGTTACTATTGATTAATATTGATTAGTTAATTGTAATGATATCATATATATATATATATATATAATACAAAGTATTTCTAAAGGCGTGCGCAATTTTATAGTTCAATAGCTAAAGAACTGTCAAAACTATGTGTAAATACTCGTACGGCCGGATGGCCGAGCGGTCAAGGTGGCAACCTATCCCTCTGGGGGACCCGGGCTCGAATCCAAATGGGTCGAAATATCTCTAGGAATTTTCGGGGGTGGTCTATCCGGATATGTCGGGATCCCCTGGTAGAACTGATTTATTTTATTTTGTTTACAGATTCAGTTAGTGAAGCTTAAATATTCGCAATAGAAGAGAAAATAAACTGTGTGCTTTAGTTTACAGGGTAATATAAGAAAGTATGGTATGTTTATTGTAATAAATAGCTTAATTTCTTCTATTAATAGCGAGGTTGCGGCCGAAGTTTTAAACGCGAAAACGCGTACGTCAGACGTTCGGCGCCGCTTTCCCGTAAGCCTAGAAGTTCGACAATGGTGTTTGGAACGTCGAGCAAGATTCCACCGACTATCCAAACGCCATTGTCAAACTTCTAGGCTTACGGGAAAGCGGCGCCGAACGTCTGACGTACGCGTTTTCGCGTTTAAAACTTCGGCCTCAACCTCGCTAGTGATTATAGTTCGATAAAGAAAAACAAATCTCAGAATTCAACCCACCTTAAGATTTTGATAACGAAGGTTTTTATATGATCAAAATGTGTCGCAATTATTGCAGGTTAGCTTTAAACTATGTATTGTCAATGCAAACGAAAGCGATGCCTGATTACTATAATTTTTGGTGTACAAGAGAGATTTCAATTTGAAATTTCTCCAATAGAATTAAGTTGAAACTAATTCTATTGGAGATGGTCATTGATAGTCACATAATAAAAGCGGCCGGATAGCCGAGCGGTCAAGGTGGAAGCCCACCGCTCTGTGGGATCCGGGTTTGAATCCGAACGGGTCGAAAAATCCTCAGGAATTTTTCGGGGGTGGTCCGTTTGGATATGTCGGACCCCGTCCTTCACCACCCGGCAGCCCCATTGTAGGCCTGGCCGAACCCATAATGGGTTAGCAAAAAAAGGCCCTCTTAGTGCCCAGAGGGCGGAGAGTTAAAAAAAAATAGTCATATAATTGAATGAAATCACGATTCTCTGTAGTCTGTAATAATGACTGTTGCATATGGAAATTTTCCCGCCTCGAGTTTTGGGAATAATGCGTCCTGAAGTTCTAGATACAAGTCGACTTTATTATAATGGATTTTCGTAAAAATGCGGAAACCCGTGTCTAGTAGTAGCGNTGAATATTTATTAACTTTTTCAGTTATTTTTTAATTGTGAATATTTGGAAAAGCAATTATTATCATTATAAATATTGAATATTTAATAATAGTCTATCCATTATAGTTTCGGGTATTAAATCTATTTTAATTTAATACTCTGTGTTCATGTCATTAATAAGGTTTAAATATGTATTACAGTATGAATTCGATTTAATGCTCTTCAAAGAATGGGTAAGAAAATATATAAAATCTAAACATCCAAACATGCATAATATATAAATGCATATGTATATGCATTTAGAATGGCTAAAATTCTTCCATGAAAGCTTTTATTTCATAAAGTATACTTCTAATGTTACAACTATTGTCATCTCTAAACACGTTTTATACAAAGACAATAAACTATTAAGCTGTCTTTTGAAAGTAGTGAAGAATGTTTGTTTCCGGTTGAGAATTTGATGTGTCTTCATCGCTGTATCTTCCAAGTTTAAAGCTTAAATAAATGCATTTTCACTGCCATTATGCATTAAGTAGCCTACTTACTTCATTTTGCATTTTGTACTTGTTATTATAATATCAGCTGTACAAGAATACTGCTTGTGGACCGCAGAATATACAGCAAACTTTGAAAACTGACGTGAAATTGCTTTAATTGCTATGACGATAGTTCAGTAGTGGCTTCCAAAGCGCCCAGAACTATAGAATGTTGTGTCTTCTCACTATCACAAGGTGATGAAACCTGATAATTCATTGAATTTATATAATTATCCTGACCATCCGAACATAAAATACAATACATTTTTGTTTTACGAAAAAATACGGTGAAAATTCATCTAGGGATCGAATTTTTTACGTGTTAAATCCCGAAAATACGCGAAATCGAAAGGGACTGTAGTAATGTTAACATTGGTTTATGGAGATTTAGAGAGAACGATGAAAATACGTTAATTCGAGTTTTTACTATATTTAATATACTAAGAAAGTATATTTTTCACTTTAAATTTTCTTTATTATAATGATATTTTGTAATTCCTATTGCCTATTCAGCTTGTGATATTCCAAAAGAAAGTTTTATGACACCTCTCTCACTGTGAGGATCAAATATACGAAGGTGACGGAGCATGAATCTGTGTAAAAGTTATATTTAGCTTCCTCATAAGTATTCATGAAGGTGTCGGCTGGTATTTACTATACAAGCACGTAAGAGATATCTGACAGATCCATTTTGATAACGTAAACTATTTGCTATTCACTATACAGTATTTCGAAAGCACTTTATAAAACAATACGTTATTTGAAATCATGACCTTTATATATATATTTTTAACCACATTTTAAAAAGATATCTCCTTAAAATAGAAACGTGCTTATAGTTAGGATTTCTGCCCTATTTATTTATAAACTCAATATATAATCACAGTACTTTTGGAATGAAAAGGATACAAGTGACTTTTGACTCACCCTGCATTAATCTAATAACCAAAGGTTATTAGATTAATGCACAAATTTCTGTTTTTTCTTCATTCAGATTAGATAATGACTTTCAAGAAAATTATAGATTAGTTGAATATCGAAGGTATATGAATAAGTTGTACAGAAATCGCTGGTAAGAATGAAATAAATCAATTTAATGAATAGTTTTCATAGTTCCTGTAAAGACATGTAACACCAAGAATTAAAACATTAAATATTTTGGTATTTCACATGCTGATCGACGAGATATCGCATTACTTAGTAATTAGGCTATTATATAATTTTAAACAGGAACATTTTAAGAAGCAATATCCTTATAAGAAAACAAATATCGTTTCATCAAATGACAAATTGAACGAATCGTTCGGTATAAACTAATGAACCGTTCCAAATTCACAGAGAAGTATCGTTCACTTCGAATAAATTTTAAATTTTAATACTGTAGTTAGATTTATAACTATTGTTTAAATACATTTTAGCAATTATGAACTAATTTATGTTGATATTTTCAAAAATAAAATATTCAAGTGAGTCATTTTCGTTTCCTTAGCTATATATGACGTCATATTTCGAATTATAGGAATGAATTAAATGGAATTTATTGTTACTATAGCATTATTTGTTTTAAAAACATTACTTAAAATACGCAATTTTTCACGGAATTCCTTATCTTCCTTATCGGGGATTACACGTAACTAAAAAAAAGTATCATTTAAATTGCAAAAAACGAGAGAGTCCGATATATTTATTGCCTTATTTAAACTAAAATTGAATAATAAATAATTATTTCCTTCTTTCGGATATTAAAGAAATTAGATTAAATTAGATTAAGCTAATTACAACTCTTAATCAGTAGGACCAAGGATCATGCCAAGCTAGAAACTAAATTCTAGCAGAAAAAAATTTAAAATATTGATTTAAATACCTGAATTCATATTTAATAAAATAAAATTCTAAATGTTTACAAATTTCTTTGTACATCTAAATTTTTATATTTTAAACATAGGCTTATTTTNATAATTATTATTTAAAAATATATATATATATATATATATGTCCTTCATTCATAATTTTTCATCCAGTAAGCTTAATTGTATATATATTTAGATACTGTATCACGCGATAACCGTATATACAATTACATAACTTTATATATAGTAATTTAATTGTATATAAGTTTCTCATATGATATTCAGAACGAAAACAAGTTCTCAATTTTGAAAACGTCCTCTGTTTATATATATATACTTAGTAATTTAACTGTATTGTAGTCCTAAAAAGTACATTATTTATATATCTTATTGATTCAAACACAACATAAAATGTATAAATATAACCCATTACAATTTTTTAATGAAAATCTTTATGACATCATTCAGCTATAAGTTAAAATCTAAAATTTTAGAGAGATTTCCAATACATTATTTTCGATAGATATCGATCTTGCATTATGAAGTAATATTAAAAATATAATAGGTTAATAAGTAATTATTTGATAAATCTAAGTACATGTTTTTCTCTATTTTCGTTATTTCAGATAATTATCCGCAATGCAATTTGTTTATAATATCAATAAGTTTATCGATTTCCAATGGGGTGTAGATAATGGGTATGTTTCACTAGAAAAACTAAAAGTTAGATATTTAAAAAATTCAATAAAATAATAAGATTAAAAGTAATATTCTTATGATATAAACCATATAAAAATAAGTTAGCATTTTTAACTTACAATTTTCATAATATTATTTGGAAATTTTGTTGTACAAGTTTACTTCTTTATACGCACAAAGGCGTATAAAGAATCTTTCTGTTTTAATTATGCCTAAAACTTAAGTTTTTTTCACAATTTTCAATATATTTTTTAGTTGCATCGAATCAAATTCGGTTCTTTGTTATTCCACGAAAATCCCTATTCAAAGATTCATCAAGAAACTCTTCGATGTTCCTAATGGCCTTCAAGAAGAACTTTCACAATTTTAGCCTTACAGTGTAAATATGTTCAATTCTGATCAGAGATATTAATTTACATTGATAACAATTCTTACAAAATGTGTCACTATGCACTAGAATACATTAAAAACTTCGGAAATTTAATTTTGTATCCTTTAGAAAATCATTTGA